TCTCTCTCTCTCTCTCCCTCCTTCCTTCCCTCACTGAGAAAGGGTCTTGCTTGTGTTACCACTGGTCTGAGTACTGTTTACTACAAGCATAAGCCACCATACCTGGCAGTAGTTTTTGATTATACTCATTATGTCTGGCTTGGTAAATATATTGATTATTGCTATTATCAGCCTCATTATTTCTAGCTCTGTGAATATTCAAGGAAATGAACACTATTTCTCAGCAAACTTTTTGTTACTGGAATTAAAGGTCTGGGTCGCTCACCACTCAAAGGCCAATACTCAAGAGACCAGAGTTGGTAGGAAGGAATCAAGCTTATTCAAATGCCAGCAATCCTGAGAAGATAGAGGGACTATCACTGCAAAGCTCCAGCTTGGGGGACTCAGGGGGCACAAAGGGCTTTTGTAGATAGGGAAAGGGATTCATATGGAAAGGACAGGAAGACTGTGCTAAGCTGTCTTCCTCATTCTGGGCATTTCTCTCCTTTTTCTTCTCCTGAACATTACAATGAACCTCAACTCCCCAAAGGATTGCTCCTGTAGTTCTTTTTTTAGACAGAATTAAAGATTAAAGAAAAGTGTTATAAAGGTTCTGGGCTCTGTGTAAATCTAAAAAATTAATTTTAATTTAGCAGTTAAAATCTTAACAATCTAGGTGGGACTGTCTCTTCAGCAAAAGGATTAGGGAGAGGTGGAAGGGCAAGGGGAGGTGGAAGGGGAGGACAGTGCTGAAGGAGTGACCCCTGTTATGCTTTGCCTTAAATCCTTGTTCAGTCTCCTACTGCAAGGAATTGATGTGCTCTTGTGTAAACCACTGGGAATTATTTTGAACTGCAATTTTAAGGCATAGCTGGAGTTGCTGGATATCTTTCTGAAAGACCAAGGGAGGAAAGACAGATAAAGGGAAGAGTAAAGGCAAAAAAAAGAGCTAAAAACCTTCTATTTCAATTATTTCCCCTATTTTAATAAATAGAATGACAGTGGCTACGTAAGTACTCATCACTTGAATCTCTGTAGTGCAAAGTTGCATAATAAAAGTTATGATTACACAAAAATATTTGTTATGAACATCCATCACCACCCCATCACTTCTGCCGTACCCATCTCAGAAAGGCCTTTTTGGAATATTCTCCTAATGAGTGACTGTGAGATACAATCAACACCTAACAGGACAGTGCAAACTGGGAAAATCTATTACAAAGTCAAATTTCAAATCTTACAAAAGATGGAGAAAGTTGGTGGTGAAGAGAATTAAGTTAGAATGAATCAAATTATGGCAAGCTTTTAAGACTGGTAAGTAAGTAGTAAGACATGATCAAGGGATACTAGGTATCAGTGGGAAAAACAAAAGATTAGCAGAGATAGTGACCCTAGAAGCACATCAAAGAGAAAAATAGATGTATTAAACAATTATGAGGAGCTCTTAGAAAATTCATAAAGCTCTTGATTGCTTTTTAAAAAAATGTCTATACATATGATTGGCCATTAAAGTAAAATACTGTGTAAAACAAAGAATGTAGTCCTGTTGTGCAGTCATTTTGATAAAAATTTACAGAAAAACAAGCACAATACAAACCCAAAGCTAGTATTAGGAAGGAAATTACAACCATCAGAGCAGAAATCAACAAAATTGAGAGAAAAAATCCCCACAAAGAATCAATAAATCAAAGAGCTGGTTCTTCAAAAGAATAAACAAGATAGACAAACTCTTAGCCAATCTTATCAAAAAAAAAGGAAAGAAAAGACCCAAATCCGTGCAATTGGAAATGAAAAAGTGGAAAGTGAAATCACAACAAACACTGCCAAAATCCAGAAGATTATTAGCAACTACTTAGTAAACCTTTATGCCATTAAACAGGAGAATTCAGAATAAATGGATAGGTTCCTAGATACATATGAATTACTAAAATGAACCAAGAATATATAAAAGCCCAGAATTAATCCAATAACAGGCAATGAAATTGAAGCACAAACAAACAAAAAAAACCCTACCAACTAAAAAAAGCACAGGTCCAGATGGATTCACTGCTGAATTCTATAAGAACTTCAGGGAGGATCTAACACCAATACTCCTCAAGCTCTTTAATGAAATTGAAAGGGAAGAAGAACTCCCAAAGGCATTCCTGGAAGCTAGCATTACTCTGATTCCAAAACCAGACAAGGATTCAACCAAAAAAGACAGGTATAGACCAGTCTCTCCTTTTTTTTTTTTTTT